AAAAAAAAAAAAGGGGAAAAAAAAGCAGTTTCAAAGCCTTGCTGCCACTGCCCTTTCTTCGCCTCTCGGGAGGACCCGGGGTGTCCAGGCACCCACGCTACCGACGTGGCAGTTTCTGTGAGAAAATGAAGGATTTCGGTTATTTTTGCAGTGATACTCGCCTGAATCCAGGACTCGACTGACGCTGGTGAATGAGCTGGGCATGGGGAAGAAGGGACCTGAGAGAAGAAATTAGCTCCATTTTACCTGCTTTCATCTGATAATTCATAAAGACTAATAATTTCTGAAGAGACAGCCTCAAGAAAGAAGGAAGAGAAAGAAGCGGTGATAAGGAATTATATTTCTCTTTTGAGGGATGTTTACTCTGAGTGCTTTTCATCGTTAGGGAGCCGTGTGGATACCAGTGATTTCTGCATTCTCCCTGCACAGTGCATCTCTACAAACACTCCATGCAAATACAGGCACACATCTGGGCCACTGTTCTCTGCTAAAATCCTGTATTAGTGTAAGGGTATTTGGTCTGTCATCCTCATCACCATATCAAAAGGCTCCCATCCATCCCGGGCTCTTAGTTAATTTTTATTTAGGAGAGAAAGCTTTAGGAATGGCAATGTTAAACGCAGCACCAATGCCTTTATTGCAGAGGACACGCAGACGGAGCGGGGGACTTCAAATCATATTTCTATTTTTATCCCGGCTGTAAGTAACGCGTGCCTGGCTGAAACGAGCGCCAGCGCTTATCGCTGGGACACACCTCGGTCATTCTCCCGGCTCTTCAACACACGTATGGTGCCGGCGATATTACATGCCTACGCTCACAAATGCCCCAGTCCAGGGGAAATAACCTACCTGGGGGAATAACCCCGAAGAAGCCCATCTGATGCCTCAGTGGCCACCCACTCCTAAGACTTTCATCTTAGGCTTCCTGGATTTAACCATTGCTCGCACCGCCACAGTAGGGACCTGAGCTTTCAAGGCCCCCTCCGCACCAGGAATAAGATTCTGCACGTGACCAGAACCCCCAAATCCCCAATCCCCCAAAAGCAGAACTGGAAGCGCCAACAACATATAGATCTATATTGGTAAATTTCAGAAAGTGTCCATTAATATCAATTTACTTCAATGAAAACTTTAGTTCTTCATGAAGTTGATGATTTATGATAAAATCAATTAAATTACGGCCACTTAGGGCCTGCGGTTTCCTCTCAGATTTCATTCGCCAACAGATCAAGCGCTGGGCAAAAAAAAATCAAGTTTAGCTGGAGGCGAGTAAAGATAATTCTGAAGCTGAAGAAATGTAATGCGAAGCAATTTTCAGAGAAAAAAAAAGACTCTGCATATCAGAGCTCCTGCTCTCTGCCAATATATCAGATATCCTCAGGAAATATTAGATCCTGAATCAAAACTTTTCGAGTTTTACGATGTATGAGAACATTTTTAGAACAGGCAACTTGTCCCATAGGCTGAGTTATTATCTCCCTCTAAAAGGAAAGGAACCAAAAGGAACAGAGTCCGTATGTATTATTTTTGTTTTTGCCCCCCCCCCCCCCCCCCAAACAACCTTGATTTTCCTGCCTCACTCTTAAAATACATGCTGGGAGTTCACAAGGGGCAGGGAAGTAGATTCTTTGAGCCTGAAACGAATAGCACAAGTCCATAGAAAATACCGTATCCAGTACTGCCTTTCTGGCCATTTCCTTTTCAATTAAAGTAATCGCAGAAATTGCATTTGGGCGAAATGAACGATTTTCGAAGATATCCTCCCCCTTAAACAAAAATAAACTTTAACTTATTTTAAAAGCCTGCTATTTTCAGGCTCGGACTCCGCAGAGGCACCGGTGTAATGCCAAATGTTAAGAGCCTCTGCCTTTACCCATTTCGGTCAAATGCACCAGCGCCTAAAACAAAAAGCAAGTAAACTAACTAGATGTTTGTTAGTCACATCTGGCCATTACAATCAGAATTGGGGAGGGAAAATCGGCTATGGACATACACAGAGCTTGGGAATTTTTTTAGAAGCCGTTGTAATTAGGGTCTGCTTCAAGTAAACAAAAAACTTTGCAGGGTCATAAATCACCATCACATACATTCTTCAGTTTAACACCCCGCTTTTCTAATGGGCTTTTGTAGTTTCTTTTTCAAACAAGAGAGAGGTGCTAAACCTTTAACAAATGTGTCCCAGACAAACTTCGCTGGTAAACACGCACTTGGAAATAAACGGTTTGTGGCCGGTCTCGGTTATGGACCGTGCAAGATAATTTTTGCTCATCTTCGGCTTCCCCGATCCTGCTCCAGAGGCATCAGTCTTAATTTGCTACCAGGAGAAAGTCAGCTATAGTTCATGATGAGCAGTGGAGAAGCCTGTCAAAGCTTTCTGAGCAGTTAATTATATCTCACAGCGTCGGAATTGAGAAGGTAGAAAAGGCAGAGTTGCGTCATTGTTTTATTTATTTTTTTAACTTCTTACCTGCGCTACCGTTCAACCCAGGACTTCAAGAAGAAGGAGCGAAGTCGGATCAGGGTGGTGCGAGTTTGCAACTGGAGCAGGCAAATTAAGGAGAATAAAAGAAACTACTTTATTGCACGCCGGCGGATCTTGCTGACAGCTTGTTCGGACGGATTTTTTTCCCCCCAAAGATGCTTTGATTTTTTGGACTCACTCGATTCGAATGGAAATGCCTTGACGTGGAGAAAAATAGAAACTCTTCCAAAACAGCTTAAAATATTGCAAGGATGCGGCCCGCTTTGCAGAAGATACCGAGTGGCGGGGGATGAGATGGGGGTGCCGGGAGGAGGAGGTTGCATGCACGTTCCCCTTTAAAAAAAAAAACAAACTTCCCCACACCCGATTCCTTGGTATCTATCTGGAAAGCTGTTTCTCTTTATAAAGACTTAAAATGTTGCAAGACGGTTATAATACTGAGTGACAAGGGGTGCTGGAGAGAAAGGAACCAAATGGATTCTGGTTTTTAGAGCCAGTAGGAATTGGCCAGCCTTCAATGTCAGGATTCAAAATTGATTCCATATGTCTCGTCCAGGGAAAGGGGAAAAAAGAAGGAACGAAAGAAAGGGGGAGAGAGAGAGAAAGGGGGAAAATAAAAGTTATGCAAAGCCCACCGGGTTTCTTTCTTTCTTTCACCCGCCATCCTTCCTAGTAGTGCCGGGAAAATACCCCGTCCCTGACTATTGCCACTTTGCAATGAACATTTTTGCCTCTCGCATTTGAAAGAGGGAGAGGTAACAGCAGCAACAAACCCGATCCCGTAGGTTATTTTTAGCCTCGACTTGTTGAAGCTGACCTCAGCCCGGGGAGAGGAAATATGTATCTGCATGCTGGTGAAAGGGTGAAGCGTGCCATTGCGCGACGGCGGGACCCGAAACGGGAGAGGGGAACAGATCCTCCCCAAGGCAAAAAAAGCAAAGCTGCGCGGAAGAG